GAGTGCTTCAGAACTGAGAGTTGGACATCGTGGACTTGACAGGTATATCATGCCGAGACATAATATAGTTTGGGTTTGGATTTGAATCATGTATCAATTCAGCCGTAATGGTGTTTATAAGTCACATAATATAGGTAGTCCTCACTTAATGACCACAATAGGGACCAAAAAATTGTTAAGCAGGGTGGTTAGTATGTAAATTGGACCCAATTTTATGACCTTTTTTGTGGCAGTCGTTAAGCAAATCACTGTGGTCGTTAAGTGAATCATGCAGTTCCCCGTTGATTTTGCTTGCCAGAAATTGGCTGGGAAGATTGCAAATGGCGAACACGTGACCCTGGGTCGCTGCAACTGTTATAAGTTGACCGGGGGTTGCTGGGACGGTCGTACCTTCAGGCACCGGTTGTAAGTCACTTTTTCTAGTGTTGTTTTAACTTCGAACGGTCACTAAATGAATGGTTGTTAAGTGAGGACTATCTGCGTGGCTTAGTGCAACCTTCTTTAGCCTGGGGAATCTCCAGATCAGTGGACATCTAAAATTCCCCAATTAGCATGGCTGTTGCTGAGAATTCTGGGAGTTGAAGTCCACATACTGGAAGATGCCCAGCTCGGGGAAGATTGGCTTAATGTAAATGCAACCATTCACTTCTTCTTCCCCACCCCTACCCCGGTGAGTAGCTATGTTTTTACTTTTGGCCTCTTTCATTTGGCATTTTGTGATAGCAAACTCACTCTTCGCCCTTGCTGCCTGCAGCGTGAAAATCACGTCTGAAGATAAAGCTCCACTGTTGCCTGAAATCATCTTTAGTGAGCCTCAGGGAACTGGTCCTTCAGGAACTACTCAGAAATCTGGTGAGTCTTTTCCAGTAAGACGCGTTGGCACTTCATTCCTGGCATGAAATATCTTCCATTAAACAGTAACCTGTGTTGACTAGCTATGCATTTTCATTCCCCTCCTCCCCCAAATAACTATGGGCTTAAGCCCCAAATCCTCCTAATGGTAATCTGTGTATTAATTCAGGCTAGCCAGGGTAGCTAAATGGGGTACATGGACAGCCTCCCTCTCAAGGCCAGTTGTGACAGAATAAGTGAAAGGAGGACAGCTGTTACCTTTGAGTCCTGCTCGTGCATTTCTGATTGGCCACCATTGGAAAACTGGGAATTGGATTCAATCAGTCAGCCTTTGACTTCTTGGACTGCAGTAGGGACCCTGGGAGTTCTAGTGTACCATACCTGGTGGACCTGATCCAACAGGGCCTTTATTATCCTAGTTACCAGAGGGGGACAGATGGAGAAGACCCTTCAGTTGGTTTTGGACATTTCCAAGGTAGACCTCAAGCTGCTAGAGCAAGCATGAAAAAAGTCAGGAACTGTCACATCTCTTCTTTCTGTCTTCTCCTGTTCGAGGTTGGCAGCCATCAAGTGACACTAGTTCTTTTAATGCTACTGCGAAATGACATTGTATTTTTGCCAGACCACGTTAATAGATTTTTCAGCCGGTATATTCATCATCCTTCTGATCTACATTTCCTTTGAATCTCTCCTTGTATAATTAATTGACCTCTCTGCTGTTTCTTGTTGGGTATCGTGTGCCCTAAATATTCCAGTTTCCTTTTTTGGGTGGTACGCTGGAGGCATTTTTCCCGAGGCTCTCAAAATCTGAACTGATGGCTCTGCACATTTTAAAGGAAATTTGCCTTCTCTAACACCAGTCCCAGAGAATTCAGAGAAGTCAGAAAATAACGCAGAAGCTCCTTCCACATTTTCCTGATCGCCATCTGCTCCACACAGAAACCAGAGAAGTGTCTTCACTCTCCAAGACTCCTTGGTTTTTGTAAAGGAGTCTGCTACCGTGTCCCAAAAAGTTAATAAGCAGAGGTGTGCATTTGTTCTTGGGCAGAAATGTGGCTATGTTGAGACTTAGATGGATATCAAAGACTGTAAGTGAATGAAAACATTAATACAAAACTGAAGGTCATGCAGCTGGTGTCCTTCTGAAAACCATACAGGCCTGTTGGACCATCCGAAAGATGCATTTTTTCATTGCTTGAATTGTGTTTGACTTCACTTTTCTCTGTGTGTCTTACCTTTTAGAACCAAAGCAGTCACTCAAGCAAAATACGACGGAAGTCCAGGTGAGAAACAACTGGAATTTCAAACCTGTTGAAAGGAAGATGTTATTTCCTTCCCCCATGCTGTATGTGTGATGCTCAACATTCCCAATTTTAGGAGCTCTGTAGTAAGAGCATTACGTGGCCCAGTTCACAGTTTGTTCCCCAATCTAGGCACCCCTAAATGTATTTCATAATGCCCCAGTGGGTGAGGTGTTGGGTGTGCTGATGAGAACAAGTAGAGTGCTTATTCCTCAGATCTCCAGATGGGAGAAGGCTGCATTAAGCCAACCAGGTTGGTTAACACAAATGTTGCTCTGTTATTCTCTCTGTTCCAGAGAGGTTTTTTTTAACAACAGTAGCTCTTTCCTGTGGCTTAGTGCAGTGTTTCTCAACCTGGGCAGCTTGAAGATATGTGGCTGCCTGGGAAATTCTGGAAGTTGAAGTTCACACATCTTCAAGCTGCCAAGGTTGAGAGACACTGGTTTAATGCATCATGCAAACCTGGAACAACCATCATTTCTGATTAGCATGTTATAGAGTTGGAAACTAACCCTTAGACATTTGATATCAGGTAATTCTGGAAAAGATTGTTTACATGGGAAAAGGCAGTTAAAGAGTCCTTTATCAAATCTTCAACCTTCTCAGTTGTTTTGGCCTTGTGTGAACCTAGATCTTGTGATTTGTTCAAGTGTGGTTTAGAACATGGGAATTTAGTCTATTTTAGGACCCGGGATTAACACTAAACCATCATTGTTCAAAAGCTCCCACATCCCTTTAGAGTTCTTTGTCCCAAGGATAGGAGAGTAGCTGCTGTGATTCAAAAGCTTGATCATTTAGGCCTGGGTATATCTTTCCTACAGATACATTGGTTCTACAGCTCCAAGAATTCCCATGGAGGGTACCACCAAGTTGGGGAAGGCTGCTCAGTTTAAAATTCCTTTCTGTTTTCTTCTTGGTTTTTTAGTTCACTGCCTGCCCCCCCCCCAATTGCTGGCAGTTTGTTGTCACTTTGCAGACAAAGTTTCCAAGGATTAAACTGGGTTATCCTTGTTCAACCTAGTTGGTGCCTGCTCTTTTGTCTGGGGAAGTGGGCAAGTGGATCTCTTGCTTTGTAGAAGACATTCTTCTGTGAGCTTCTCTACTGTTGTCCCATTGCCTAGGATTGCATAAATGGAAGGGACCTCCAAGGTCCCCCTGGTTCAACCTTCTGCAACATGTAGAAAAATCAAGGAAATCATCCTTGATTTCCCCAGCCTCTTTCTAAGAACCTCCAGAGGTGGAGGACCCACCACCTCCAGAGGTCTCTTCTAGTGTTGTACAGATCTTGCCTATAAGGAAGTTTTGCCTTATGACAGTGTTGTCCAAACTTGGCCACTTTAAGATGAGTGGACTTCAACTCCCAGA